TTCAAAAAATAACAAATTTTATCACATTCATTAATATGTCAAATCTTTATATTAAAATTTCATAAATTAGGTAATACTATTTAACTATGATTTATTATAAATTATATCAATGTTATTCAAACTTTAAGGAAATCGTAAGTTAAAAACAGAGTATTTTTATCTTATCTATTTTAAAAAATATGACATCAGATGTTTATCTTGACTCAACAAATTTGATTTGCAAATCTGATCACTACTTAAAAAATCAATATAGAAAACTAAATTAGATGAAATTTTTTCCACTTAAGTAACTTGTAGTTATTATTGTGACAACCATCATTAATTAATTGCTAGCTCAAATTATTAGAAAATTTAATATCTTTCTATTTAAAATAATGAAAGATCTAATCAATATACTTCTAAGAAGTCAAAAAGAAATATTTTTCTTTATGCTTATACAGAGTGTATCAAAAAGAATAGAGTTTTAAATTTGTATTTGTCTTACTTGCAGTATAAAATAATAAATCATATCAGAAATAAATACTTTGTACATTTTCCTTTCATAACACACGTGACAGTGCTCAACATAGGAACCTTTTGTTACATAGCACACATCCAACTGGTAGTCCAGTTCTTCCCCAATTCCTCCAAAGACCCCCTATTGAATTTATTTTTGTGGGGTATGTACAAGATTGAGTTTGTGTGCCACCATTACTTTTGAACATACCAGACTTAAGACACAGGATCGTTGAGACTGTTGCACCCACCATACTGGGCATGTTGAACAGAGTATGAGAAGAACTGGACTACTGATTGGATGTGTGCCATGTAATAAAAGGTTCAGACATTGAGCACTTGTAATGTGTGATATAAAAGCTTTTACATTCCCCTTTCATATCAGGTATCATTTATTATTTAATACTGCAAGTAAGAAGGGTAATGAAACAAATTCTACATATAGATACGATAAAGTGAAAGATAAAACTGATTAGAAATAATGAATATAAGGAAATATTTCTTGAAAAATTTGTATATAAATTCCAAATCATATAACATCTGCAGACAAACAGAAATAATGTTATGATAATTAAATTTAATTCAACTTTAATGTTAAATCATTACACACAGAAATACAACCAATAAATTTTACTTTTTAAATATTTAAAAAGTAAAAGCAAGCATTAAATAAAAATTATCCAACAATGAAATTCAGAGAAAAAAAAATTACCATTTTTGAATCCTCTACATTTTCAAAATAAACAAATGCAAATCCACGTGATCTTCCAGTCTAAAAATAAAAAATTTTATTTAGAGTCAAACTCAAATTTAAAATATGAAATATAACAACTGTTAATTATATTTTAGTTTAAAATATTTGTCAAAATATTCAGCTTTAATCACAAATTTTTCAACTAAAATCTTAAATTTCAGTATGTCTAATTCAAGATTTTCATCTATCCAAAACATTATATTATCTAGGTTATGAAATAATACAGTAGAGCATCGTTTATCTGAATCAATTGGGGACAGGGGTTGTTCAGATAACTTATTTTTCGGATAATTGACTATGTATGAAAAAATATATTAACCTATCCCGTAATGAAATTTTTCTCCGTTGCATGTCGCTTCGCATTGAATTTTCATCAATGTTAAAGCCTAATATAAACTTTTTAAAATAATAATCGTGGCTATTGTATCGTTAAAAATTATTTCTTTATTTTGTACAAAAATAAATATATTGAAAAATATAAAAACAATAAAAAATTATACTCAGAAGTTAATTTAGTATCAAAAACATAAAATATTTGAGTAGCTCAAGACATAGCTAAAGATTGCAATGCCACAGTACTGGCGAAAATTTAAATTTACCGACTAGAATTCTTTCGGATAACCGACCTTCAGATAAACGACGTTCTACTGTATATACAGCGGGTGATCGGTTAACGGTTTGAACTATGAACAAATCGTATAACAAACACTTTTGAAAAAGATTTTATGTTTGGACAATGAACACCTCGCAGAACAAACACAAGAAGAAGCAACATAAAATAATGAATACTGATTGGTCTTCCCTTGTCTTCAGACATCAATTCCGAACTTTTCAAAGCACAGGAGACATCAGCATCGATGCTCAACCCGTTACATACTGATCAGATAGTATTCCTCCAAACTTTGAAACTCTCCCTTGTAATTCCAGCCTTTTATTTTTCTGACAAAATTTTTTATAGTAGTAACAAAGTTCCAAGGATTAATTTTGTTGATTAAATCAATATTATGACCATACAAATAATTTTGGGCCTTGTTGGACAATTAAAAAGGATAATTCTGCATAGACCCAAAATTATTTGTATGGTAATAATATTGATTTAATAAATTTTTTATAGTATTCGCAAGACTGTCGGGCAGGCACTCGTTAAGTTTTGCATTGGTTTTTATTTTCGAGAGGTGAGAGTATAATAGCAAAGGTAGAGAGTGGGCAAAAGATGTCTGATGTTGCAAGGCAGTATATGGTTTGAACAGATTTACAGTAGGCCACAGTTCAATCTTATCTAATATCCCATTCACACCAAGCATTTTGATCTAGATTGTGACCAAGGTTGGCAATTATGCTGTGGCGACCTCTCTCAACACGATTGAATTTTGTTTCAGTCGGGATTGAAACACAATTCAAATCGTGATTGACTCAAGAGAGTTCTTGAAACTAGATCCAGTCATAAGAGAGCTCCCACAATCCCACACGCACAAGAAAATACAAGATGGCTGCAGAACACGTGTCGGGCTATCAACAAAGAAATAAAAAAAAAGACATCTGGAGAAATGATGACATCTGTCTATTATTAGATATATGGCAAAAAAGTATTTATTTCTAACCAAAACTTTCACTTTGTTGGTGTTCGTGACTTATCGCGTAGTTATGTTAGTTTTATCATTGCGTGTAATAGCTGGGTTCTTCTCAAGCGGACTGCCTGTGCAAACAGCTCGACGTTCATCTGGCAACAGTTACAATCCAGATTGTAGGCAAATCAAGATTGAAGTGAGTCGTGGATTGTGTGCAAACATAGTATAAGAAAGATACATTATAATCAAGAAGACTCAAGCAGCTAAAGGAATAACAAAAATCACATCTGAGAAATAAAGAACATTGAAGAGATCATAATGGAACTTGAAATGGATCTAACAACAGAAAAACACCAAGAACCCTTTAATGAAAAACAAGAAACTTTGTGAGTTATGTTTTCTTCTGAAAAAAAGGATTAATACCAATATCTGCTATTAAAGATCTTTCAAAGTGGGAAAATGTCAGAACAACAGTCTTAGAATGGCATCCAAATCAGGTTGAGGTTAATAGGCTTGGGATCTCTACAATTACACAATGATATTAATTACTTCTGAAAAATCCTGAAGAAGAGAGAAAAACAATCAACATTATACACATTCTTTAACCTCCATAAATGAAAAAAAAACACAACTAATAAAAATGCAAGACTGTATGCAGGTGTTATCATTATTACATATAAATAAACATAGTAAGAAAGCATATATTTTTTATTTTTTGGAGTTTCCAGAATGAATTAATCAAAATTCCGATAAAAATCTACAGTAAATTGATAATCAATTAACAAAGAATTCAGATCATCCATTCCAAGACTTTGTTCCCTATGTTCGTTAACCAATCACCTAATATATATATATAAACAATATAATATCTTATATATCTCAAATAACAATAGCATTAAATGTCAAAATTTATGTGTTTTACTATATGAATTTTACTGGAAACTATCAAATTTATTTTTCAATATTTAAAATATGATATAATTTGCACAATCATACAACAACACAGTACTTTTGGATATATCAAAAATTATGTAATCTTTGATATTTAATAAATTTACTTGAAAAAAATAAATGCAAAAGGCAGTTCAACTTCTGTCCAGAATTTCAGTAAACGGCAATGGAACTTTGTATTACATAGACCAAATTTATGTTTCTTATTCCCCTCCACAAGCTAATATTTTTCCCACTGTCTTGGCAACAATCTTTTGCCTGCAGTTTTTTGATTGGTGTCATAGTATAACCCTGTGAAAACTGCAGGTTATCAACAGATTTGGTTGATAAATTCTGGATCACCTAATCTACAATCAGTCACTGTGCAATTATCACCTTTTAGCTCTTTGAAGGAAGCTTTGGGAGACAGGAGAGTCACCCAAAGTACTGAAGTCTAGCATTTAAAAAATGTTACACATTCCAATCTATATAAATAAAAATGTAAATGTTCATTTGTTCAAAATCTTAATCTCCAAAAGTTCTTCACCGATTGATTTGAAATTTTGACACAGCATTTCTTTCGAATACACGCGTTTTTACATCAAAATTCCCCCAAGGGAGAGAGAGAGAAAGTTAAGGCTTAACCTGAAGAACGGCCTCTACAGTACTATTTTAGATACAATTTTTTGTTTCTGGTGGTACTAACTTAATTTCCAAATGTACAATATTTATGTTTTACGATTTTTTAACCAAATATTCGAACTGTTTTAAATTCAAATTTGTTATTGCATATTGGTTTGATTATTCGCGTTTTTCATGAACTATAGAGGGCGCTGTATTTTTACAAAATGGCTACTCTATCTGGGTCGTTTGTTAGTCGTCAATGTAAAATGAATTATATATTACTATCTGATATAATGAAATATGCTACTTGTAGCAGTTCATCGAGAAATTTTATAGAAGGAGAACAAGTATTACTAGCAGGACACGTCATTTTATGTGGTATTATCGAGAAAACCGAGCAAGATCGTTCTGTACATTTTTGTGCTCTTTGTCTGCAAACATCAGCATTGACTTCTATCCCACACAAAATTACTGGAATTTTAAAGTTTATCGACATATCATATAAAATTGAATAGAATTACATTTTATTGAAGATAATCCTATAGTATAGGTTAAAAACGAATACAAATACTAAATTACTTTATACTTAGACTCTATGCAATCTTTTTCAGTTTGATTTTTTAATACTATCGAATTACAATAATCTAAACATATTTATAAAAACATGATAGCATACATGACAAAATATAATCTTCAAGAGTAAAATGTTTCGAACATACTACCATATACTTCGTAACTTTTTTGCCAATTCTTAGCAGTCGAATCCACTCTTTCCGTCGGTTACATTTCTGAGATTCTCCGAATTCTGATTTACGAAAAATCATCTGTTTTTCATGTGGGAATACATGAAAACTTATATCGGGATCGCGTATGGCTTTGGAATTACAATTTGGAACACAACAGAAAGCTTTACTTTTACTTTTACTATTCATCTCTACTGTTGACAATATACGAAGAACATTCAAACGACCCAGATAGAGTAGTTCTGTTTTTAAACACCAGAGGGCGAGCATCCGGTGAAAAACGCGAATAGAATGATTGTAAATGTTCCAGAAAATTGATCAAATTGAAAATGTTTCTTTGAAGCAGTAAAATGATTCTCAGCAATAAGGGATATGTGTTATATAATGTTATAAATTAAATAATTACCATGGTTGTTGAAATACTGAATATAAATGGTGTTAAGCAAAATCACAAGGGTACCAATTCGTCGGCACCCTAGTAAAAATCGATTTTTGTAAAATTTAACAACAGATGTCAGCACTTGATGGCAGCATCTTCTCTAATTCTGTTTCACATATTTTTGTCCAGGTAGTGTTTTGTTGATTTAAAAAATGTTAGTTAATGCTTTTTTTTCTCACTTTATATCTTTGTGATAATTTTTTTATTTCGTTTTTTGTATTTTAATGCAATAATATTACTATATTACATTCATTCATGCTGTAATAAGTTCATTCAGCTATAAAAAGTCAATGTATTATAAATATTCAAGTTGTGACTTCCAGACATCTTATATATTTTTTGTTCCTATTGATATGCTCTACAGATCGATTCCAGTCTCAATTTGCTACATTTGTCCTAGAATTGTGCCTAACTGTCCACCCGAAGCAATCTAAGAAAAATATTTCGGATAAGGCTGTACTAGCAACATTTGTATCCTCGATTTTAGAAACAGCCATTTAGTTCTAAACGAATCGTTCGAAAAGTCCAACGAAATAAGAATAACGATGACGTCATTCTCGTTTAACTCGTTCGACTTTACGAACGTACCCTTTATTCGAATCAACTCAAATTAATTCGATCAATCATCTTTATATTCTAAAACAGTAAATTCTCTCCATGTCCACTTCTATAAGACAAATATTTATTATTTATAACAGAAAAAACTGTATTAATACATATATATTTATTTAGGCAATTTTCACGACGAATGTTTGATCACGTGACAAGTTAGTCCGTGCCATCATCATAAAGAAAATACTTTTACTTACAATAGAATACCGATTATTAAAACAGAAACAAAATATATAATAAAAATATAAATAAGCAAGTTAAAATAAAATAACAAAAATTCCATTTTTATTATATTAATAAACTCATTTCCTTTGGTCAAAAGAACGCTCAAACCATTGTTCTAAGAAAACAATATTTCGAATGAAAAAAATACCAATAACTTCCACTCACCTCTCTATCACACATCCTTTTAAACAGGGGCTAAACTGTCAACAAACAATTTTCAGAACTTAAGAATTTTAAATTCTCAGCCGAATTTATTCCAAAAAGACTTACTCTCGCAATCTGTCTTTCGATAATAACTAACAACACGAGTACTCAGAAATTTAAAATTTTATTTAATTTATATTATTTATTAATCGTTATGTCATAAAATTTATTAATTCGATAAATATAACTTAAATTGAAGGTCTATTTGATGATGACTCATTCTATGCCACTCACTTTTATCATGGAAATTGTGAACGAGGCTAAATCAATGTTGCCGCAATGAAATTTCAAAACGTACTGAAGCGCCTTCAAAAAATGTACTGTACTATTTTCCTTCAAAATGTACAGTACTAGTTCTATGAATACTTTGTTTACGTGCCTATATATATGTTAGTCCTACGAATTTTTGTTTATAGCGTTTTTTAAATTAGTTTGCCATCATATATTCGATGTGTTTTGGACATGTCTAGCATGTATGTCTCTATTGAAAATATAATTAAGCGGAAAATCGTTGGTGTATCCTTTATAAAGCATTACCGTACTCGAATATTTGTAGTCTTGGGAAAAAAGTGGAAAGACAAATTTTTACGAAAACGGATACATAAATCGTAAATTTAAGGAAAATAAATTCTAGAGTTTTTTCTGTACCTGTGCATCTCTCTCATTCATTAAATTTAGTTGTAAATGACACTGTCGAAGTAACGGTTAATTTTTTAACATTATACAAGAATTGTACATGTTTTTTTCTACATCCCCTTAAAGATGGGATGTACGAAATCGTAATATCACAGGTTTAACATCGAAATCCGTGAGTAATATAAAATCGGAGAGCGGAATAAATATATCAAATATTTTAATGGATTTTTTAACTCCTGTCAACTATACGGAATTATCGTAAAAACATACCAGTAAATTCTTATCGGTCGGGTTAAGTTATAAATCTACTCGTTATTCGCGTAATAGAAATATCTAGTGGGCAGGCGGCTAACAGCCCAGAACCGGTCCTTGATAGAATTGGAATCTTTATATGTGTGCAGCTTTCACCCAAGGTCGTATGCTTCCACCGGCTAAACCGGGTGAGGTTGGTGCTCTGTAAAGCGCATGCGCAAATCTGGCTTTTCGTAATCTGAAAATACAGGAGATTCCACTCCGCCACTAATATTCTAATATACAATAGCAATTTTTTTTTCACGTGTAGTATAGAAATTTGTAATAAGATACATAATGCGGTTATAATAAAATATTGTGCGATTATTTTCATATAATTAAAATTAATATTTATTTATTTTTTAGAGAATACGAGGGAAGCGGCGCTTCCAACGCTTCTAATGACGGCACGCTACTGTTTGGTACACAGTTAGGTTACTCCACGGAAATGCAAACTATAAACGGTTTTTTTAAAAATTCACCCGGCGGAATAGAGATAAACAGTTAAAAAATACCTTGAGAAAGTCGCTTTCTACTGTACTATTGTAGAAGTTATTTGGGTTTTTGCAAATTATCGAATGTATTTCTATGCACATAACAAAATACTCTAATTAGTATTAAAAAAACAGTTAATTCTTGCACCCGATAGAAACGAGTATAATTATAACTATAAAGATTTTATTAGGTAACAGTCTATATCGCCAAATGAACAATACAGTATAACACGTTTTAAGAATTACAAATTTCTCTACGATACAATATTCGAAAAATTTTTAAATGTGTTAGATTAAGCACTCGGTGTAAAAAATTCTCATGTAATATAACCTTCGTAAATATAAACTAAACACTACATATGATACAGTTTACAGAAGTACAAAATAATATAATAATGTTTGCTGTTGATATGTTTTAACTGACCTACGCTGGGCTAATCTGCTAGCTTTTATATAGGCTTATAGACTTTTATATTATTATTAAATATGAAATGTAAAACCTATTAACTGTATAAAAATTATACAAACATCCCAGACAAAGAAAATATAGCTGGCAAATAATTGATTTCCAACCTAATTAACTAGAGTGTCGTTAAAACCGAAAACGGCCGGCGACAGGTAAGAGGTGGGTTTCCATCAGAAAACAATACTTTAATAAATAAATCAAGAGTTGTGTATTTGAGTCCCATTCTGGACAATTATTTTCTTTCGGAATATTCTAGATTTAAAATTAATTTTAATTCTAATTATTAAATTTATTAGGAGAGCCGCTAAACCATATATCTCTAGCCAAATTTGTTATCTAATTAGTTATCTGATTTGTTATCTAATTAGTTATTAGGCTCAACATAGCCCAATAGATAATCTGACAGATTATTTAGTAATAGGAATGTGCTGGGTTGTTGTTTACTATGTAAATTAAATAATCAATCCGCAAGAAAGAAGTGCAGCTACCCATTGTTTCAGTTAATAAAATATTGTGGCAATGTAAATTAAAACTTTCAGTTGTATGAAATATGTTGTAAATTCCCGATCTTACAATGGTAGAAGCAATTGTTTCCAATCAAACCCAAAATACTTGTAATGTAACCCGAGTAAATTTTCTTTTTACCGAAGTTTTACATTTAACAAATATTCTGCCAAATCCGAGAGAAAAGAATTTGTTATAAATAAACTTTTCTTTAAAAAATGCAATTAAAATACTCGAAATATTATATCTATGACGTAAAACTCGTGACGTAACGCGTGACGCATTGCAACGACAAATTCGAATTCGTTCCATTTCGTATTGTTGCCGACGCCATCTTGGAATAGAATGTTTTCCGGAAATTGCGAGTTCTTTTTCCATCCATTTTGACATTTTTCGCACAAATTTTAATAATGAAAACTCGAGTAACGTAGGTAACTTAATATTTTTCGATTTATATAAAAATTAAATAGATTAAATTAGATACGCTTTAAACCTATATTTGCGGCCTGTAATTTGTAAGGTTACGGAATGCGTTTTTATAACTTTATTTATTATTACAAATATATTTTACAAAAAAAGGGGACTATTTTAGCATTTTAAAGAAAACATTTGCGATTAGTTAATATTCTGACGTAGAACATATGACGTAACGTGTGACGCATTTATCGCACGTTCCACCGATTCGAATTCGTTCGATTTCGTATTGCCGACGCCATCTTGAAATAGAAAGTTTTCTGGAAATTGCCAGTTATTTTTCCCTCCATTTCGAGATTACAGATAACTCCTCATTATAGTAAACAATTTGAAGTCCAATTTGGCCACCTGTAAGACTTAGCTTAAGAACTGTCAGTATAAATTTCAGAATATCAAAGGTTTTTTCACTATGCCGAGCATTCCCAATATATGAAAATACTGGGATGGGTTAGATGAAAATGATTATGAAGTTCCATAGATGACTGGACAAATGGGGCATGTCTAGAAGATGCCTTAGATTAAGTCTGGTGTGGTGCGTAGACAGGATTATTTGTTACCCATATTATATTATTCCGGAAGTACCCAGTGAAAATCCATAAATGAGTGCATGACACCACTGACAGGATCTTTCAGACCATTGGCCAGGAATGCCACCACAAAATAAGATGTGTACGGAGATGATACTAGGAAGTTACAAGAAGGAGAATGTAAATATGAGTTTTATATTCAACGAATCCTTACACTACTTTATCAAATGGGTAATATACTTAACTATGCTGTTGTTATGATCCATCAGTTACTGAAAGTAATCTTGTCAGACTTCATAATGAAATATGCCAAAAGGAAAAAATGCAACCAATTTTCATTGTTCGAAAAGCTTCTTTCTACAAGAAGTTGATTCTGAGTAAAAAATTAGATGTTGCAAGGGAGTTTGGCATCA